GCTGAATTTCCCACCACCGTAAAGGCACATTCACTACTTCCTAAGCAATGACTCCCCTGTCCCCCGTCCCAGCCCTGGTAACCACTAATAGAGCTCTGGTCCTATTCTGGAAACTTCACAGTTTCCTTTCCTGTTCATCTCGGGCTGAGGAGGAGACAAGTCGGCTGCCTCTGTTCTCTGCATTCCCCTGCAGGCTCAAGAGTCAGGCAAATTGCAGGGGCTGGAGCTGGCAGGGGCAGAGGAGGCCAGCAGCCTCAGCTTTCCGCTGCTGGATGTTGTTATGGCTCCAAGGGCCAGAGTCAAGACTTGTGGATCTATGAAGACCTCTGTGCAGAGTCCTCTTTACAAAATGATTTAACAACAGGTGGTATGGCCACAAGCTATGTCAGAAAAAACAAAACAAACAAACAAACAACAACAACAACAAAAAAAAAAAACCACAAAACTCCCCAGGGACCTGCAGTAGCTAGGAAATGCATTTAGCATAAGAATTAAGCCTGAAATGCTAAATTAGGAGGACTGGTGAATTTCTAAGTTTGCCTTCCTGCAGATAAAATTAAACCTCTCAAGAAAGTTAGCCAAGGGGTTGAGGAGAGATGGAGGACATCCTCTCCTGCAGAGTTCCCTGATGGCGAGAGCAGAGCTTCTTCCCAGATGTGTGGCCTCGGCTGCACAGGTCCCAGTGTGTCTGTGTGTAGGTCCACCTCCACTAAGAGATGTGGATGGCCAGCTTCAAGATGTAGATACACTAGAGCTTCTTCCATCATTCAGAACAGCCTGGGAGATCCTGCCACCCTCGTCTTCTTAACTTTATGTTCTCCCCACTCTTCATTCTGTTCATAAAGTACAATGATATTTACACTTGTCCCATGGACTGTTATAGTGACAGGGACACCAAGGAGAAAGATTTGCATGTTAAAATCAAGGCTTTGACTGGTTCATTTCAGTTTGACCCTCTGCTGATAATTGGCATTTCTACCCCAGATACACTGAATCACAATCTATAGCGGATCTTGTTAAGATGTGGTTTCTGATTCAGTATAGCTGGTGTGGAAATGCATATTGTCATGAACCTGTTTGGAGTCCTGGTTAAAATTGCTTGTCTAGAAATATCTTGAGTCTTTCATACGCTCATTGACTTGTTTATGCGTTCATTCACTCCCGTCCCAGCTACAGCTGCCTGTTGATATTTCCCCAAACTAAAATCAGAATGGTAATCTCACAGATCTAAATAGGATCTTGAGGGCCACCAAACAAAAAATTACAAATCAGGACTACTGTGTGACATCTGCTTCCCAAGGGCCCGACAAAAATGCGTTTAGATAGATGGCTTGGGACCATGGTCTCAGGGGATAGCAAGCTCAATCGGCATAACATACTACACAAAAACATTGTTCCACCTCCTACTTTGGAGAGTAGTGACTAGGGTCTTAAAAACTTGCAAGAAGCTATCTAGATTCAACAATGAATCTCTCCTCATCCAGAGCAAATAATAATGAAAAAAAAACAAAGATGCATGAAAACAATTAGTCCAAGGGACTGGTAGACCATGGAAAGCTCAGCCTATATGACCATGAGACCAGAAGAACTAGATGGTGCCCCGCTACCACTGTCAACCACTTGGAGGGGGTCAGTGCAGGAGATCCTGGATAGAATGGGAGAACAGTGTAGAACAAAATTCAAAATCGTAAAAAAAGGTCAGGTTTGCTGCTCTGATAGAGCCTAGTGAGACCTCTGAGACTATGACCCCTAGTTCCCCTTCGGATCTGGAATTGAACTCACTCTTGTGGCTTCCAGCCAAACAAGGGCTGAACATTTACATCAGGTAGATACACTACTTAGAGTGATCAACAATGGGAGTATTTGCACAGGGAGATAGCTCAGGAGGCAGGAGTGCATGGGAGGGAAGGACAAAGGGAAGAGGTGACTACGGGGAGGAAGTGGGAAGAGAGCTGTTACATTGTGGGGAATTGCAGTCAATGTCATGAGACATGTGTGTTAACTGCTGTGTGGAAAAGGAATTTTCTCTGTAAACTTTCGCCTAAATCACAGTAATTTTTTTTTTTTTTTTTTTAAGTGTTTAGATGGCTGGGCCATAGTCATGTTCTAAAGGAACGTGAGCATACATAAGGGTGGCAGACATATAAGAAACCACTGTCCTGGAAGGGAGTCTTGGGAGCACAACAGTTAAGTGCTCAGCTGCTAACTGAAAGGTTGGCAGCTCGAACCCACCCAGCAGCTCCGTGGGAGAACGACCTGGCAATCTAATTCCATAAAGATGACAGCCTAAGCAACACTCTAGGGCAGTTCTACTCTGTCATGTGGGGTCACCATGAGTTGAGGTTGGCTTGACCACACATAATAACAGCAGCCACCCTCCTGGAAGTCCTATGGTAGGACACCAGCCACTTGTACAAAGTGAGAATGACAGAGTGTTTGGATGGCTTGGCTTTAAAACCCTGGTCTTTCAGTTACTTGTAGTGAGGACTTTAATTTTCCTTCCTTTATTTTTAGCCTCACCTAATCTTAGTCTTTTTATCAATAAAATGGGAAAGATAAGAGTGTTGAGATCAAATGGGACAATGGATGCATATGTATCCTGGTGTGTTCAGTGCCCACCAGACTTTCTGCTCAGAAAACGTTAGATGATGGCGATGATGATGATGATGAATTAAACAAACGTTTATAATGCACTCTAACACTGAGGAACAAGGCAACAACTCTGTCCCCATGTGCGACTCATTCTAGTGGAGAAATGATGTAAATTACCGCATTTCAGGTAGTGATGGGAGAAGACTAATAAAGCAGGGGAAGGCCGTAGAGAAGGGGTGTGGCCAGTGCCATGTTCAGTGTTGAGTAACCAGCTCTCAGGAAAGTAAAAACAAACGGAGCTCTGGCTTGGAGTGTTCACCAGTGTTACTGGCATCAGGGCTCCCTCCGTGGCTGGTTTCAGACTGCCAGTGTGATGTCACTGAGCACAGAGTTGGGACAACATGTGCACAGTCCGCTCTTGAGAGTCAGTTGGAACTGGCTCCGACACAGCACTGGGGGGGTGGGTAAGGGCTGTTGTAGCCATCGTGATCAGAGAAAGTCTTTTTCATGACATGACATAAAAACAGGGACTTGGTGTACAGCAGGCCATGGGGAGACTTATTTGGCAGAGGGAATAGCTGGTGTAAAGACCCTCACAGGAAAACACAAGGTGTAGCTACACCGGCCAGAAAGCCAGCGTAGCTACGTGGAGTGAGCACGTTGGAGAAGGGAGGGAGGGAGGGGCTGAGGGGTAGGCAGTGCCCAGCTCATGCGGCCCATAAGGGCCAGGATAAACATAATAATTATGATTTATTGTCACTACTACTATTTTACTGGAAAGTTTGTATGGTGGAAAGACCTTGGCATTTCAAATCTCGTATATTTAATTTGAAATCTCGATTCTGTTAATTCTAATACCAGTGACATCTAATTAATTACTGGACCTCTCAGAGCTTCATTCTCTCAGCTGAAACTCAAGGAGACTCATCAACAACAAATATCTATTTATTGTCGACTATGTGCAACAGCACACAACAAAAACAGCAACAACAACAATGTGCTGGACACTGTTCGGGGTGTCAAATTCAGCAGTGAAAGACGTAGACAAATTCCATATCTTATCTTATGGACTTTATAGTCTCATGATGGAAAACAAACAAATAAGTATGATAAGCCGTGATATACTAGGGGGAATTATAGAGCAGGGTGAGAGGCACAGAGCTGCTATTTAATAGAATTGTCAGGGACAGCATTTCTGAGAAGGTGATGTTTGAGCAGGGACCTGAACCTGGTGAGAGACGAGTGCTTCACATATCTAGGAGCATAGCATTTATCCTGCAGAGTTATTCAAGATATTGTAGCATTTTATAATCATGTAGTTAGTTACATATCTATATTGAAGAACCCTGGCGTGCAGTGAGTGGTTCAGCCCTCAGCTTCCCTCTCTTGGTCAGATGTTGGCAGTTTGAACCCAGGGCTCTGCTGGAGAAAGGCCTGATGGCCTGCTCCTGTGAAGGTGACAGTTTAGAAAAGCCTCCGGGCGGTTTTCCTTGGTCCCATGGGGTCGCTGTGAGTCAGAAAGACCTCAGCATCAACAACATACCTCTGCATCTAGTCATACGTGTACACACAGGACAGGCCTACAGCTAGCCACTGATCAGGGAGACACCAGTGGGTCTGGGGCAGTGGGGAGGGAGGCAGGTGAGGAGTTACTGCTCACAGATGGCAGGGGCGGAGGATCCTGCAGGGCCGTGGGGAGTTAGTCCACAATTCAGCGTCTCTTCCCAATGACAATGACCTAGACTCCAATTCCTTCTCCACAGCCTCACTTCAGCCTCCTTAATCCACATCAAAGTTTTCTCCTTTAAATATTGTTTTTCCCTCCCAATTGACCTCTCTCATCCTATCCTGCTTTCTTCCCCACAGTCATCCTACCACACACTTATGCGCATACATACACATGCATACTCATGTATGCAGCAACACCTTCACATAGTATTCATGCTCACCTACACAATACACATAATACGCACGTCACACATACATACAACACTAATGCACGTGCATGCCCATATACATGTAAACATGAATGCACACATGTGCATATGCTCCAGCACACACCCCACACGTGTAAACACACAGACTCACTCTGGTCAGTGTTATCTCATGAAACACAGACTTGATATGGCGCATTCTGACTCACTGGCCTCCAGTCTTCACTGTCACCCACATAGGATATCGAGACTCAGCAAGCTTCTCAAGAGCTTCACACCCCAACCACCAACAGTCCTCATTGTCATATCCTACAGCCACCCCTGAGAATCTGGGCTTACGCGACATTTCCCATCTCCCAACACACACCATGTTGATTCACCCATCCATTGCACTAGTATTTATTCCTGGTCCACTGTATGCTGGGCATTATTCAAGGCTCCTGGGATGCATCAGTGAACAAAAGAGAGAACACGTGGGGGAGACAGAGGCTGAGCAGCAGGCAGTAGAGATCAGTGAGTTGTATGCTGGAAGGTGATCATGTTGCAGGAAAGATCGAGTAAGATGGAGGGGTGGAGAGTACTGGTGGCTGCAGGGAAGCGGGACAGATTGTAGTGCTTCTTCCTTGGTCTCTGCCATGGCCTCGTGCTTCAGCTAACACAGTCCATGTCCTCTGCAACCGTAGTACCTCCACGCGTTCCAGACACAGGCACGGTGTGGCTTTGAGGGCTGGGGCAGCTGGCTGAGGGAGAGGAAGTGCAGATGAGCCTCCTCATGCTTCAGCTGAGACAAGCCCTGCCCTTTGCAGCTGTAGTACCTCGGCCAGTTTGAGACACAAGCAGATGTTGGTTCTGAGGGCCAGGGTAGGTGAGTGGAGTAGAGGGAAGCATGACGGACAGAGAGGTGGCAAGATTGTCTGCATGTCTTTCTGGGATGTTCTGAATGTTTTCTTGGGACTGGAGGAGTGACATCATAATTTTTAAATGCTTAAATCTTCCCACAATGCTCACCTGGTTCGGTGTGCTCCCAGCATACAGACCCACAGCCAGCTATCCCTGGATGTCCGGAATTCAGAGTACCTGGCCAGCATGCCCCCGCTGCCCGCGGAGTGCGTGGACATCGACGGTGACTGGAGCACCCTGCCCGTCATCTTCGAGGACCGTTACGTGGACTGCCCTGCCACAGGTGGGCCTTTTCACACACTGGGACCCAAATTCCCATCTCACCAGAGGGAAGGAATGTCAGAGGAAGAGCTCTCCTTATCTCAAATATGCAATTCATATGCTAAGTCATTTCTATCTGAATTTTAATGGCATTCAGTGCAAACCCCCAGAAAGTGCCCATTTTATGCCAGGAGTCTGGCAGTAGCCTTGAGCAATGGGGCTCCATAAATGGCTGGCTGGATGGGTGTATG